ATTTGTATTTAGATATTTTCTCATATTGCTTTAATACCAGTTAATTTTTATTAAAGTGAACTATATAGATATCAGGTACTTTTATTTATTGATTAATTTAAATTTATTATAATAGAATGACATTAAAATTTCATTTTCTGAATTAGAAGAATCTGAAAAACCTGACCCATCCCAAGTTTGGTCAGAATTCAAGCAAAAATTCCTCAAAAATTCCTTTAAAATAGTGAAATGTGACGTAAGAAGGTACCAGGTAGAAGATCACCAAATACTCAAAATTATAGAGAATACCACTAGCATCAATGTGAAAAGCACTTAAGAAAACAAGACCCTGATAAAAATATGCAAACACTTGCAAAAAACCAGAAAAATCAAAGGATGACTGCAGTAAGAATTTTTTTTTTTTGCATCAACATTTTGCTTATATGACTATCAGTAAAATTTTAATTATGCTTCTCAGAAAATTAACCATCAAAAAAAGAGGTTTACCTATTTACAAAAAACAAATAGTATGCATCTCACAAATCTCCTTCCTCTTGATATACCAGAGCAATAGGCTCTAAATGACTTAAAAAAAATAATGAGAAAAAGCAAATACCACAGTGATGAGGTATCTAAAATGAATACTGAACTGGCTGAAGAAGAAGAAAAGCAAAACATTCATTCTGAAATTGAACTTGAAAGACATAGCCATGTTGTAAAGGTTGTGAAAAAAAAGTAGCGATCAGAAACTGTAATTATTACAATAGATAATCATATAAATATAGATATCAATACTAATATATTTTAATATACTTTTAGTTAGAACAAATTTTGTTGCTGTGTGAAAAAACTGCCATAGAACAAAATCAAAATAAGTTAAAAAAGAATCAGTGGAAAAGTGATAAAGTTGCAAATAATTCACACCACCAGCTAGAACTCCTAGTTGGTGTATTTCACTTTCAATCTCTGGTACAACCTTCCTTATCATGTCTTGTAGTTCTCCTGGTAGCTCTACTGGTGCTGGTGATACTATTACTACTGGTTTCTGATACAAGTCTGTGTAGTTCTCCACTACAAGTCTTGCTTGTGCTCCCTTACAAGTTCTGCTTGTGACCCACTTCAAATTCTGCTTGTGCCCCGCTACAAGTCTTGGTTGTGTCTCTACCACAAGTCCTAGTTGCGCTTCTTCTACAAGTACTGGTTGTGATCCCGCTACAAGTACTGGTTGTGCCCCTACCACAAGTTCTGGTTGTATCTCCACCATAAGTACTGGTCGTGCCCCGATACCTATCATAATAAAAGTGCTGCCAATACACATCCTGGTAGAATCCTTACTAGTAATATTTCCACTGAAGAACCTAGTGATGCTTCCGATATCATTACCAGTAAAATTTCTAATATTTCTAATGCATTATTTATGACTTTTTACTAAAATTTTTGTAATGTTTTATTTATTTAATCTCTGAAGGTAATACAACAGTTATTAATAATAATAATAATATTATTATTATTATTAGAACAAGGGACAAAGGTAAATCTGTTAGTAGAGATAATTATGAATCAGGTAATGTATTTGCTAATTTTTATATGATTGCTATTATAGTTCTGATCTAAAACTTATATTTTTAATCTTATTATTGAAAATTTAGAATTTAATGTTAATATACAAGGTATTATTTAATAAATTGGTATTATTTTTAATTAATTCACAATATATTAATTATTATTTTATAATTCAGAATTAAATGAAGATCGTAATATTTATCTTGCTAATACTGTTAGATATCCTAAACCATGATATAGCAGAGATAGTTTAAGTCAACAAGCACCCAGAAGTTCTAGACGTACTAGAAAATAATTTTTTTTTTAGTATATTTAATTTATATAATGTATTTATTTAGCTATTAATTTATGTATATAATAATTGTAAAAAAATATATATATTAAATAATAAAAAATTTAAATTTTACTTTTTAATTATATATCGGGAATAAATAAAAATAAAATATCTGTAATATTGCAAATATTACTATTTATTTTAATTATACCAATATTTGTCTTTAATATCAGCTAGTAAAAAACAGATTTACAAAAGAGTAAATATCGAGATATTAAAGGAATCCCTTTAGTTTACTACTATTTGTCTTTATATATACTGTTTTTCACTTTTTATTTTGCTATAACCTGTGCAAAACAGATAAACATTGAAATATTAAGAGAAACACTTTAGTTAACTGATATTTGTTTTTGCACATACCATTATTTACCTTTTCTGTTACTATAGTCACTAATATTGGTAGCAAAATAGATACATAATTTTTATATAATATATCAATATCAGAATAATAAAAGATATCTGTTATTTAGCCAATATTCATTTTGTATACTCCAGATATTTATCTTGCATGCTGCTATAGATCTGCCAAACACGTATAGCAACCAGGTATATAATTATCATATAAAGGATTAATATTAGGATATTAATAGATATCCTTTATTTAATTAATATTTATCTTTTATTTTGTATCAGTATTCAACCTTTATATTATCATAGATCTGCCAAATAACTGTAGCAAACTAGGTTAAGTGAAGATATTTAAAGGATAGATATCGGGGATAAGTAGGTATACTTTATTTAGCCAATATTTATTTTGTATTTACCGATATTTATCTTTTATACTTCCAATATATGCAGCAAAACAGATATATA